TGCAAATAGCTCTGATTGGATAAGGAGCTACAATTATTATCTGATGATATAACAGTGCAAGTTATACTAGGCTATATACGCAATACATAGCGGTTATATTGATCCAAATACATTTTAATGACGTTTTTGTTATACACCAGTCCACCTGTACAAAATATTCAACATTATCTATTGGATTTTAAAGTTTTCATGAAAGAATTTTGTTATTTTTATTTAGCGTTTTTAAATAGCAATTTTAGGAATTCAAACCATAACAATTGTCAACAGGTAGGCGAATATATGAAATAATTGTTATATAACGGACTACGTGCTTAAGTCAATGACTTGAAATTGGAATTTTGAGTTCAGTTTTTGTTGTATTCGTCTATAGGGAAATTTTTGGAAATGGAATTTTGCGTTCCGTCCTACACATAAAAAGATACAACACAACACAAAAGACTGTAAGCTATGAAAAAAAACAACGATTCGTCTACTCCAAAGGCCTATATACCGTCTGAGAAATTTCTAGAAATTCAGAAATTATAGATTTTTAGATGATAGTTTATCCCTATGGCGCAGTTTTTGGATGAAAATAAAGCTTCTTCAAAGTGGTGTTGCATTGCACTTAAGATTATATAAAGGTAAATTCAATTGACAGTATGCAATGCATTTCAACTTACTTCGTGCATTGAAAGATTTTTCCTGTCAAAATAACATAACATAAATCTGATTATGAAAGAAATTCAAGGACTATGATTTATAAGTGACTTCCTCCGATTCTGGAAGCTGGAAAAGTCATAATAAATCTAACCATAGAAAAATGAAACGAAATTAAATAGCTGTAATTTAATAAACTGACAAACTAACGACTTTAATCGATTCTGAAATGAGCAAAACTGTTGTTTTCCAGAATTCTTAGCGACTGTCTTCCAGTTTATTGAAGAGACTGTTGTTTTCCAGAATCCTTAAGGATTGTTTTCCAGCTTTCTGAAGAGACTGTTATCCATGGCAATTTACTGTTGACTGTTGTTTTCCAGAATTCTTAGCGACTGTTTTACAGCTTTCTGAAAAAACTGCTGTTATCCAGTTTTCTTAAGAGACTGTTGTTTTCTAGCTTTCTGCAGAGACTGTTTTTCCAACTTTCTAAGGGACTGTTATCCAGTTTTCCGAAAAGACTGCTGTTATCCAGCTTTCTGAAGAGACTGTTGTTTTCTAGCTTTCTGAAGAGACTGCTTTTCAAACTTCTTAGGAACTGTAATCCGGCTTTCTGTTGTTTTCCAGCATTCTTAGGGACTTTTATCCAGTTTTGTGAAGAGACTGTTGTTTTGAAACATTCAACTCTTTAAGAGATTGTTTTCCATATTAATTTTGTTAAAGACTGTTTACCGGGTTTTTAAGAATTTTCCGGCATTTTAAGAAGATTGATTTCAGGTTTCTAAGAGACTGTTTTTCAGGTTTCTAAAAGATTTATTTCAGGTTTCTAAGAGACTTTTTTCCAAGTTTCTTAGAGACTGTTTTCCAAGTTTCTAGGAGACTGTTTTCCAGGTTTCTAGGAGACTGTTTTCCAAGTTTCTAGGAGACTGTTTTCCAGGTTTCTAAGAGACAGTTTTCATTGTATTAGAGACTGTTTTACAGCTTTCTGAGAAACTGTTTTCAATTTTCTGAAAGACATTCCAGCATTCTAAAGGACCGTTTTCTAAGAAATTGTTTTCCGCTTTACTTTGGGTTTTTTTGGACAGTTTTCTAACTTTTTAATAGACGTTTAAAAGACTGTTTTCTCGTTCTCAAGGGTAAGTTTTTCAATTTTCTAAGAGGTAATTTAGCAAATATTCTAATTTAATATTCTGCTATTCCAAAGGGATGGTTTTTCTGGTAGACAATGTGTTATAAGTGTGTTATGCTGTATTCGTTACAACTGGCTTAAATTGGGTACTAAGTAATCCCAGATGCATTGCAGCATCAGACGGTTGAATTTCTTTCTATGTTATATGGAAATGCATGGTCAATAATGATAATAAAAGAAGGAAAATTCGGGTTAAACTCGCATGATAATGATTTAATTAATATGATAAAGGGATAATGTAATAATAATATTAGTGTGTGATGTGATAGTGTAATAGACTCTGATTTAATTCTTATCAATATGATCTGAGATAATGTTATCATGACGTCATATCTATCCTTATCTCGTTTGTTTCATAATAGGTTGGTAATAAGAACTTTATCGCCATCTGCACGCAAACACCGTTGTATTACGATCAACGCGTGACAATCATCTTGGAGTAAGAAACTGTCGACTCTCGCGTACCAATGTACAAGGATTTGAATAACGTTTTCTAGTTCCGGGGACTTTAAATGTTACGCGATCCGTCAAATTGTGTATCGAGATATTACACAAAATGATGAAATATTCTAAAGCGGATCATTGCAGTGTAATTAACTAGAAACTAATTGACATAACAAGGATCAAGTTACCAGCAGTTATGTTAGGATTGTTTGTCATATCCTTATTCTTCTTATAAGTCGTGGTCTATCAATTTATCTGGAATTTCAGTGAATCAACTCTTGTTATACCCATTATTTAACATCCGTTCTCACAGTCTGCAATTTTGTTATTATCAAGGATTTTATTTTTGCTTTCAATATTGAGTTTAGGATTGTGTATTTGTCATGTAATAGAATTCAATAACAGAAAAGTTACTTAAGAGAACTCTCGATGTTAATTTTGAACCAATTTCAGCAATAAATGTAAAACAAGAGGTTTTCAATAGTTTTGGCAACGGAACCCTTCCATAATTGTAAAGTCTTAACGGAACACACTTTTGTGGTATACTACTCTTAAATGTCGCTTAAGGATTGTAAAAAGGTTTTCTGAATTTTGTATGTGTATCGGGGATACTGGTAGCATCAATTTACACCATTCCAATTTTCAATCAGGCGTCTGTGGTTCCTGCCATTCAACTAAAACTAAGTGTTTGGTGACTTTATTAATCGCGAAATTTGCTTTAACACATAAGGCCCTTTAGTAAGGCAATAAGTGACGTCATCAAACATTTAGTTTTAGTGGAATTGAAGTAATTGAAATGGTGCAAGTGTTCCCGATACACATTAAAAATTTAGAAAACCTCTTCACAATCGCTTTAATAGTTGATGTACTTTAAGAGGTAAAAACCCAGCAAGAGAATCATCTTTAAGGATATTTGTCATAAACACGTAGGCCTATAGGATAAAAATGTATTATATTCGGGTCATATGGTTCGTTATTTAAACCAAGCACTCCTACACTCAATTCTATTCTTAGACCTGATATGTACGTTTGATTCGCTCGTCTTTACGTAATCACAACATTTTCATTGTAATAAGTTATTTGAATACATAAAGAGACCGTCATATGACTTGAAGGTATTTTAGTTTCAAAACTTATCAAACAAGTTTCTATTAATATATATAGTTGGCTAGGAAAAACCAGGTATTGGATTTTGATCAATTAAGGTATATTTATACTCTGTTGAATAATAAGTTTTAAAGATTTGTTTATATCGTTCTTATATTTCGCTTATTTATATTATTTATATTAAGTAAGCGTACATGTTAGATATTCTACAAGTTCATTTTATTTTGATTTTTGTGATTTTTTTTAAATTTTGTAATTGTTTCTAGGATAAAAAAAAATTGTTATTTGTATTTCCTCATCATATGTTTTTACCATCGTATAAGTTTTTGACCTGCAACACTTTTCAGAATCGAAAAATTGTCTTTTGTTCGTGTTGTTAACACATTCTTTTCTCGAGAACTGTAGCTTTGATTTTTGTAGCCCCGTTACGAATTTTTATTATGAAAGTGCCACATTATGTATTTTTGGGGCGATTGTCTAGTCTATGATATATATTTTTAGCGGAGAGTGTAAAATTATTTACATATTTATGTAATGTTGAAGTAAGGTATATGTATCAATGTATTTCCCTTCAATGAGTCAATATTAAACTGTCCCTATAATGTATATTGCCTATTGTCATGTCACTATATCATTCTTACATGATTTCAATATTTCAATTTAATTCTTTTATCGTTTCAGAATCATCAGGTTAATGGATACAGACCTCTAACTAAAAAACAAACCGGAATTTAAAATGGAGGAGCAAGACGAATACGACCACAGGCGTGTAAGTCCAGAAATAAACGGACATCATAAATTATCAAACGGTATTAGTAGAAATGTACGCCGGGGATCAGAAAGGGAATTTGAAGAAAATGGATACGGATCTTCAGACGATAACGCGGGCCAAGACGGACCTCTTGACTTCTCAGTGAAACGGAAACGTACACATTCAGAAAGTGACGACTCGCGGTCCTCATATAACAGCTCAAATCTACCTCATATTAAAGCCGAGTCTCCGGATCCTCATGAACTTCATTCTAATGCTCCATCCCCAGGAGAAATCACGCGTGATTCAAGGGGCGATCTCACCAAATCACCGACTGCTGCTGCAATGGCTGCCATGGGACTTTTTCCCGGTATGATGGGAAATGGCTCCGCCATGTTGAATAACCTACCTGCTTCAGTGGTAGCCATGATGGATCCGCGATCTGCCATGAATGGTCAGAAAAATTCCCGTCCATTTAAAGCTTATCCCAAAGAGGCCCTGTCAATGCCTGTAGGGTATTATGGAATGCCAGGATACATGCCCTTCCCAGGAATGGACGCTAACGTTCTTCAAGGTCTTGGCCTTAGCTCAGAAGAATTAATGTCCATGTACAAGCAACAGCTAAGTCAGTTACGAGAACGAGATAAGAACGGAGGGAAGCATTCGGGTCACAGTAATGGGAACACGAGTAGCGGAAGTAGTAGTAATGGGGACACAACACCACATACCACACCTAATCATTCGAATACATCACCATCATCTGGTATCCCCTCCCTACCCCCTCATTTAGCAGCTGCACGTGCTACCATGGTCAGCAGCACGAGTGGATCTTCTGGTGCTAATCGTAGACGACCGCGCACACTACCAGATGAACAGAAAGATGAGGCTTATTGGGAACGACGGCGTAAAAATAACGACGCGGCTAAGCGTTCACGCGATGCGAGACGTGCTAAAGAAGACGAAATCGCTATTCGAGCTGCCCTGCTTGAACAAGAAAACTTAAAATTACGAGTCGAAGTTGCTGCATTAAAAAGTGAAACAGCAAGGCTCAAGTGTATGCTTTATAACAATTAAGATAACCATGACTGGATAATCGAATGTGTGTTGTTAATGTGTGATCATAACGTTTTAATTTTCAAAACCATTTGCCTTAAAAATAAAGGCTGGACAATCGATTCTACCTCACTCTTCATTCATTGGATGGATTTCATATTATGGTATGCACGTGAATGTAATCTTTCTTTCGTTTTGCACAAATATTGACGTGACGTGTTATTGTAATGATACGTAATCTGGAATGGTGTCACATGAGACGTGACGATGTAATAACGTCACAGAAGACATATTAAACGTGACGATGTGTGACGTTACGATGCCTCGCTCTCGACAGTGAAGTCAAGTAGCCTACATGTGCGAATACAAATATATTTGGATTAATAATATGGATGTTGTGCACGTGTTATAAACAGCATATTTCTAGATTGTGTTTTTTTCTTTTGTATTCTCTGGATCAGAACTTGCTTACTCAGATCTCAAATTGCGCTCCTCAAAAAAATCCAATTTCTGAAAAATGAAAACGATACCTTTTTAAACCTCAAGCCAGCAGTCAATACCAATGATATTGTGCAATAACTGATTCTGATTCAAATGCAACAACAATCTCGAATGAAACATCAAGACCGGAAGTGTTCATATTATAGAGAGATGATGTTTCGTTTTTTGATTGGACGCCAAAATTTGATGGAACTCGTTCCACCATTTGATAACAGTTATTTAATGTTTTAAATCCATCTATCTTGTCAAATGATTTAAAACAATTTGATTCTTTATTTAAGAAACTAATTGATTTAAGATATTTATACGTCAACATTTTAACTCAGGGATTGACTATTTATGATATTGTACCAAAATGTCGTCTTCGCGGTCTCAAGGGATGACGTCAACATCTTGTGTCGCGAAGGCGACTTCTCATCATTTCAAAATACCAGGCAGCGTTTTCTTTTATGTCTATTTTCATTAAGTGATAATCACGTCTACGTGTTGGATATATCTTGTAATATATATAAAATATGGGTGATATTGTATATTTCAACATTGAGACAGGTTACTTGTGTCTTCACATGAAGTCATCCAGGAATCAATTCTATTACGTCATAAACCACGATTCTTTCAATTCAAACTCAAGGATTTTTTTGATATTTTCATATTGTAATTTCAGCCACCATTCAGAGTTATTTATTGAGAGGATTATATTTATATATTATATTTGTTAAATAGGTGGCTGAAATTACAATAGCCCTCTGTGTGTACATATATTACGTCATATCAATGTTTCATTTCTTATGTCATAGTTTTTGGTGCACGAGTTTAATGTTGAGTGCTATAATTTATCTATGTTATATTCTTAACTTTGAAATATTCATATCCTTCTCTCGAAGAAAATTTCAAAAAATCAACGAAAGAGCAGCAAGACGTCACGTCACGTCACGTCACGTCACGTCACGTCACTTCACGTCACGTTTTGTTCGCCATGTTATGTCACGTCACATCACGGTTAGTGTGACGTTGTGACGAAATTGCTAATAATTTGAACAATTTATGCATAATTTCGTGTATCACCTTGAGAATTTATTGAGAGAAAGTGATAGCGATATTTCATTGTTAAATGTCAATGCACGGATTCAGTTCCACATACGGGTTTTTTACGTCATATTATAACTTGAGTACGAATGGATAACCTTAACTGAATAGGCAACTATCTTTGCTATCGCTGAATGATTTTTCTTGCAGTGCTATTTTACTATCACTGAATGCTGTCTTGCTTCCATTGATGCTCTCTTTTCAGATATAATAGCTGCACAGTGTGTGTTTTTAGATTATGCATTATAATGTTAATGCTATAGTAAATAGCCTAGGCTTACGAATTGTCCCCGCTATCAAACAAACGATGAATATTATGATAAGTAAGTGGATTTGCATGATATACACATTACCCGCCTATTGTGCAAGAGATGTGTTTGATTGAAACACACCCAATAAGAGTATAATCAGTAGACGAAATCAAAGCCTTGTTTGATTGCGAATGGAATTTGTTTGAGTGTGCAAACCATATTTATGATGCCAGTCGTTGATGGAATTTAACATGGATTTCTATTTGAACTAGTAATGGTTCCATTTCCATAATCAAAACTATAAAAGTAGACCAAGCACCTGCAAAATAGAGTTGCCATGAAGGAGCACCATTTCGGACTAATTAATTGTATATAAATTGTCTATATTATTATATAACTTTTATCAGTTTTCAGACTGGTTATACAAATCTACCTCAGGGAAATTGTAATATTATAGTTTAGTTTTCTTATAATCTATTTGATCTCGTCTACGGACTACAATGTGTTTCAACATGATGTAATCCGAAATGGTCAATTTGTATTTTGATAGAATTATGACGTCACTATATCTACGGTGCTTTCTTTTAGTTTTTTTCACGATTTAAATGCGTTTTTCTTATTTGATTAACCGATTTCTTTCGATCTAGAAATTGACTGATTTTGAACAGTCTCGATAAAACTCAAATTAAAAAATCAAAGGGGGTATATCTATTAGAATCTGTAAAGAAATTATAAAGAATTATTATGATAATATTGACAAAGGAAATTATTTTCCATGATAATAGTGCTAGAAAACAGCATGAGTCTTAACATGTTGGTGATTGTATGAAAATTAAAGATGGCGGCCAAGTATATTTACATGTTTCAAGTATACAGTCTAGAGAGAAGATTGTTCAGCACGAGTTCATTCTTAGTTCAAATCTAGTTTATTTCATTGCGTAGATTGTGATGATTCATTCCACTTACATGTTGAAAGAAGGAAAAACATAGCTGAAAAGACCAAACAGTACACTGACCGCTACATAACCTCTTGCACATTCTCATATCCCACGAACTTTGACCTTTTGTCATTTAAAAAAAGCATTAAGTGCCCTTAAAGCATGAGGTCAGATTCTAAAACCTTTTATTTCCTTTGTCGCGTAACCTCAATGTGACCTGCACGAGGAACGCTAGCAACTCACTGATGTTTATAATTAAATCCATTTGGTGTAAAAAAAAATGTCTAAGGCTGTAAAAGAATCAGTGAAGTGAATAAAACTTGATATAAAGAAACAAAACCTGGAGTGAATTCAATTATTGACCAGTTTCTTCTCTTTGTTTCCATCTTTCTTGTATTTTGAACCAAATTTATGTCGGTATCAATGAATTTAAGAAAACGCCTATACCTTATGCACGCAGCGAAGAAAATACACTTTCAATTAATCTATAGTACTCAATTGATGTGAAAGAAGTATATTCTCTTCTTGTGACTTTGGCCAGTGCTTCTATAAGAGCGTATCTTCTATAACACCCAACACCAAAACTATATCTTCAAAAATTTTAAGATTTGGTATTAAATGCGCTGTATATGCCTTTATGCATATTCACCTTTGGTTATAAACAGAGGCCATATTTGAAGATTTTTGTGAATTGAAAATTTGAAAATATAGTCCAATTCAAGAGGCTTATATTTATGATCTAATTTTGTATGACATGCTTATTACGTCATTTAATTCTGCAAGCCTAAATTGGTGACGTAATATATGCGATTTATTGTATAACTCTATGACGCAACCTTACGTCACATTATTCCAAATGTTAAGATTCCATTAAGACACTACGACCGAACTCTGTAAGAGTTTCTCTTAACGTCCAAAGTATCGAAAGATTTTTGAAGAAATCCAATATTTGCTAGTAAGAGTGTTTGTTTATATTTTTTGTTTGTTTATGAATTTAGTTAGATTATTTAGTGCTAGATTTCTTATTCTATTTCCGTATATATCTGGTTACCATGGATACTATTTTCAATAATGCAACGTACGAACGGACCGAATTTTTCGAAACGTGCATTGTCGAAAATGTCAGGACTTTATTCAGAAATTAGTATCCAACGTACCAAATAGTCCGAATCACTGACCCATTAATATATTATGTTGCACGGTTGTATGTGAATGTTATTATTATTATGGTGAGAAAGAGTCGAACGGGTCAGTGATTCGGATTATATAGAATCCTATATTCATATTATCTCTATTTTCTGTCTTTTATAACTGTATATAGAATATTGTGATTACTTGAAAACGGGTTCAATTTTCATTGCGCATGTCTTTTATATCTACTTCCTTCCTGTATGTTATCTTTTATTATATACTATTTGATTGGTTTATACGTGCTTGGTAGTATGACGTCATCTTATCATTTACGTCATATTTCTTTAATCTTTAAGTATGTCAGAATATGGTTTGATTGGATAAATGTTATGAAAGGAATTCCTTCAGCGGATGGATCGGTGAGCGGGTACGAATTTTTCATATTATGACGTCATGCAACATTGACTAAGATCATGACGTTATATTAAAAGTGTGACGATCTACGTTATAACCACATCGAGTCTTATGACGTCATAGTTAGAGAAATACTACGTCATATTTTCGTTGTGGCGCAAACCGATCATTCCGTTGAATGGGATTTGAAATTGCACACGGCACTACCTCATACATTGTACGCCTTCATTCTTTCTTTAAATTATTGTTTTATTTTTCATTCAATCATCAATATAATAATGACAATAAAAACGTTGAAAACACATTTGTATTTAATTGTATTGTGTATGGTTATCCATTGATGCAGTTTGCACAGAAAAAATGGTGGATGGTATATGGTCACAAATTTTGGAGTTTACTGCGTTTACCCCTATTGCATCGAAACCCGCACATTTTTTGGCACTTGTCCAATCAGCTCAATCAGGTGCAGAAAAGCAAAACGTAAATCGTGATTTCATTTTCCAATTGTGCACGAATGTTAATCCACGTTCGAGAAAGTGTGAACGTGTCTCTTCGGTAATGCTCTCAGGGTAAGCAACAGTATTTAGATGCAATTTTCGCCATGTTATTTACTTAGTCGCATAAAATCCTTGAATGGACATCGATTCAGCAAACCATGTCTTAGAGCTGC